GTATGGGACTCTGTTCTGAAAATGGCTGCCAGTCAATGAGTTAAAAATGCACTGAGGTAAATTTGGAAACTACTCAGTGGTCAAGTGGAAAACTGAATATAATTTAAAGATGATAGGATGCCAGCTCCTCCAGATTAAAAGCAAAAGGGACCATCCAGCTCTTTATAAGCACTCAGCTCACAAACCTGCGTCTTTATTGGGACTTTGCAGATTAAAAAGCTGAAAGCTAAACACAGTTTACAGCATGTTTCCACATTCAGACCCTTTCTGTTTCAGAGGATGGTGCTGCGTATCTCAGCAAAAAACTATTTACTGCGTATATTAAAAAATAACAATAGACTGCTGAATTGTAAAATTTTTCCCTTCCATTGTTTTATTTTTTTCTCTTTGAATAAAATATCGATTTATGAGATTTGCAAAGCAAATGTTCTCAAAACTTGACTTAAGGCAACTGGACTCACAAAAAATAATGAAGTTATACAGACAATTTCTACCATAATAAGTAATACGATTACAATTAAAACATTCAAAAAAGTGCACACAGGAGTAGGATATATTTTTACTGTATTTCTGGGTTTTAATCATTGTCTTTTATCTCTTCTTCTGAATCCCTTTGATAAAAGCCCAGACACCTTCACTCCTCCAAGACTTAACCCTTTAAAGCCTGATCCAAGAATAAAACAAAACAGAAAATTACTTATTTTTTTGTTTTAAGTCTATATTTGTCCTTTTAACAAAATATGTAAAAAGAAAAAACAGAAATACATTTTAATATTAATAATTTATTACTATGCGATAAGTCCAGATTATTTTTGTGTAGTCTTCTGCCCCCTGTTATCAGGTGTATCTGATTGTGTACAATAGGATTTAGAGCAAAGTTTTTACCATTAAATTATGCAAAAGGTGTCAGACACAAAACATTTCAGAAACCATATGAATCAGATATGAAACATTTGCCATTACAGGGTTAAACCAGGAACGTAAAATGTCCACGGAGATCTTCCTTGTGAATCTAAAAACCCGTTCTTCAAAAGAAACCGAAACGCTTAAGGTACGATTCAACTGGTAGCTGCTAATTAAAGGGAATATTTAAAATCTGGAGACGTGAACTTTCCAACCCCAAGTTATAGTACAGCAAACATATGTTTATAATCTTCCTTTATGCTTAAAAGAACTGTGCCTTAATGCTCATTTTGCTTGTTAATCCAGTCTTTTCTGTATATCACATTTCCAGCTAAAGCCTGTAAACGCTGTATTACAGGGTCAAAAAAACAAGAGATCCGTATAAATGGAGCTTATTGTTTCTACGTTTGGGGATTTAACTTGAGCTGTAGCGTTTACACTTACTAATGAATGCCAATCCAGTTTGAATTAAGATATCTGAGTGTATTAATTTATAATCTACACATCCCTATCCGGGTAACTGACCTGTGCTGAAATAAACGAGTGAAAAACGTCCCTGTCCTTGACTGCCCGACGCATTTAAACTCAACTGAATGATTCAGTGATTCAACTTCCATCTAATGGGCCATTCATCCACTGGCGATATTGTTTTTATGTAAATACTAATAATCTAATGCAGCCACAAGCTGTTGCCTAGCAACAGCAGCTGTAAGATGGAGAAGCGAGACTCGGGGTGGAGGACAGACGCCGGGTAGAATTTTTAAAAAGTAGAGGAGGAACACGAGGAATTAAATGAAGCATACAATGTCTCTGAGGAATAATTTGCAAAAAGAAAACCGGTAGGGGTTAAAAGCCTCAAAGAAACTGTTACAAGTTCATTTTAAACTTTTGGAAAATGTCAGAAGCCAAAGAACTGAAATAGAAAAAAAAATACATAGCTAACGTTTTCAAAATCTTAATTAAGAACATTAAAAATCTCTGCATGTCAAACTCATTTTTTCTTTAAAACCATCACTTCAGAGGAGACGTAACTATGGTGATTATACAGAATACTATTTACAGGAATATTTAATAATACTGCTGCCAGTAATGGGTTTTTAACAATCATTTAATGAAGAGAATATGATTTACTTCTACTTTCTTTGACTAAATATAAGTCATTTCTAAATATTCAGCTAATAAGAATGTGTTGTTTGTTTATTAAAGATCCCATAAGACGGCTTAGAAAAAACTGATTAATAAAGTTTGGCAAACTGTACAGAGGTTGTCTCAGATGAAAACAAACAGATTATTTCACTGATACACAAACGCTTTTCTGGCTTATTTTTTATCTGCATTTTGTAAATGTTTGGACATTATTTTTGATGTGAGGATGTTGTACATTCACCCACAGGGGAGCAGATATTTCTGGAGCTGAGATTGGATCTAAAGTGGGGGAAATAAGTATTTGAGCCCTTGCTGATTTTGCAGGTTTGCCCACTTACAAAGAATGCAACGATCTATAACTTTAATCATATGTACATTCTAACAGTGAAAGACAGAATCCCAAAGAAAATTCCAGAAAATCACATCATATGAATTTATAAAAATTGATAACCATCTGATGAGGAAAAACAAGCATTCTTTGTAAGTGGGCAAACCTGCAAAACCAGCAAGGGCTCAAATACTTATTTCCCCCACTGTAAGTGGCTTCATAAACAATATTTTTACCACCCGATGCTCCACGTATGCTTCCAAAACCTTTGCTATACTTTAGGCCAGTGTTTTCCAACCTTTTTTGAGCCAAGGTACATTTTTTCATTGGAAAAATCACGAGGCACACCACCAACCAAAAATGTTAAACAAATCTGTATCCGCCTATAGTAACACTATAGTTATTCTTATTTTATTCTTATCTTATCCTAAGTGTCTTAAATAGGAAATCAAATACAAAAATGTATTTTTATCATATTTTATATTTCTTCTTTCAAATTGCACTTAACATGTCCACTTCAATATGCAAAATTATATACAAAATCTAGTCATAAGGAATTATTACATGATTACGCCACCAGTCACTAGAACAGCACACACATTCAAAAATGGCATATTATTTTACATATAATTAATTCCTTATCAAAAAATCTTTTTAGACCAATGAGGTGAAATAGGATGATTTTCTACACCTGACCATCACTAACGGCACACTAGTGGTTTAAAAACACTGTTTAAGGAATTCTCACGTTAAAAAGATGGAGCATGCATGGCAGGATATACCTCACACTCCTACTGTAAATCCATATGTAATGATCCCAAAATAATCCCCTGAAGGAAGCAGAGTGAGAGGCAGATATCAGGATCTTTTTTCCTTTTTCCCTCCAGGACCTGCAGTGAGCACTTCTCTGATCTGGAACCAGTCCAGGAGCTAACAGACGACCTCCACACCTTTTGAAAGGATTACACGCCTCGG